CCAACTGAGATATGAGCAAAATACTAAATGATTGATTTATTCTGGACCACTCGTTACAATCAGGCGGTTATGTTAAACATGTATATGATTTTTATCCACTACGAATACGAAATATTAGACACATTTCACTTTATAACCAGACGCGAGCTGCTTTAGATTTAATAGAGAGATTTTGTGTTGATAAAGTGTCTCAACACAATCGCACAACTAACAACAGTTTCAAAGCAGATTCTAAACTTCACTAGATGCTGACAGAAGAACTGTAACTTTGATGGATCTTGTTCCAAAAAACTTAAAATTGTTACCTAATGTAGTTTCGTATAGCGATCGGTTGTTTGGAGACTATTAGTTTTTTCGCGCCAAATTACGTTACTTCTTTAGTATTTTTTTATTTCTGCATCATTAGTTAAGAGAAAAAGACGAAAAAATCTGCACAACGATAACGAAACAAACAAAACACTAAAATACAGTTGTAGATATATAACAACAACATGAAGATGTCAGCAAGAGAGATAGAAAAAGTAGATTAGATGATGACAACAGTAATAAGAAAAGAAATAGTAAGCAAAAAAGGCTTTACAAGCGCTTATATTTGTGTACGTATCTATGTTGATCTTCTTGCAACATATTTGGTTTGTTGAATGTGAAGGTAAAAAACTACAACAAAGGATATTTTGAAGATCAAAGAATAAAACGCAAAAAAACGAATTCAAAATAAGCTATTTTCATGTAATAATTCGAGAATATCGAACAGGCACACGGAAAAAAAATTTAACACAGAAGAGAAGAAATACACAAAACAAACAAAGAGAACGTGAGATAATAGTGATATAGACCGAGAAAATAATCAAGAAAATCATAACAAAATCCGACATCGTACTGTTTGCCCTGAGTAGAACTTTTGTATTTTATTTTGAACGCTGTGAAATAAAATAAGAATACATCAGAGTTGCCGTCTTAGATTGATTGGTGTCGAGCTTTTATGATTTAACGTTGTTATTGGGGATGATGACGTTGTACCTATTGAACTTGACATCGATAATGAAAGAGATGGATTTAGTTCAAATTCAACCAGTAATGAAAAATGATCAGATGGTACGTTTGGATGTGGACCTAGGAAATAAAACAATATGAACTGCGGTACGATCTGGCTGTTGACTACAGGTTATTCCGTTTATTTTGAAACAATTTGCATGGACTTTTTCTTCGTTAGTGACTTACACAGATCTCATGATTCTTATATCAGTCTATTCCACTGACACTGCAGATGTTGCCATTAGTATTTATATTTCAGATAAATAAATACTTTGTAATAAAATAGCTTACTAGCAATTTTCGCTTGTTGAATAGTCAAAATGATGTCATGTGTCTATTACTCTTTCTTTTTGCTGTTCTATACTTATTCAATGGAAATTCTTTTCTTTTTTTTATAAATAAAGCTTATACTAAAATATCTGATAATCCCGAAGGGCTCGTCATATATCTTTTGACAGCAAAATAGTCATACTATGTGATATAACAAGAATTATCTGAAATGAATCTATGTGTATCAAAAAGTACCATTAGTTGTATCGCTCTAATAATATTCGAAAACACTGCCAATTGGATTTAGTAAAAAATCTCAAAATTTTATCGTCGATGTCAGATAGTAGCATTTGCCATTGTTCACCGTATTATACGTAGGTCGTCTCTTTTCAATGACAGTTGGATGTAAACGATGTACTGATCTTTTCTTATGGTATTTTGCACGAGTAATATCATGAATAACACGAAAAATCGTACCAGTACTGATATGACATCTTGCAGCCATTAATGAAATAGTTGAAGATTTTCTTTATTCGTATATGATATAATACGGCGAACAATCGCAGATGTTGCTATCTGATATCGACGATAAAAATTTTGGTTTTTGATTTTTTTACTAAATCCGATTGGCAGTGTTTTCGAATATTATTAGAGCGATACAACTAATGGTACTTTTTGATACACATAGATTCATTTCAGATAATTCTTGTTATATCACATAGTATGACTATTTTGCCGTCAAAAGATATATGACGAGCCCTTCGGGATTATCAAATATTTTATTACGAAACATTCATTTAACTAAAATATAAATACTAATGGCAACATCTGCAGTGTCAGTGGAATAGATTGATATAAGAATCATGAGATCTGTATAAGTCACTAACGAAGAAAAAGTCCATGCAAATTGTTTCATAATAAATGGAATGATCTGTATTTTAAAATGAGAAAAAATATTAACTTACAGCCAATTATTTTATTTGAACGAATCCATTCTGGATCTAATGGTCCCAATACGCCGAGTACACGCATTAACTGTTTACTATAGAAAACATAATCAATAATGCCTTTAAAATCATATCTAAAATAAAAATAAAAAAAAAAAAAACCATATTAATTATTTATTTAATGCTTTATTAGAATGATTGGAAGAATAGTTCGTTATTTGATGAAGTTATAGACAAAATAATCAAATAAGAAATACTATATTATATAATTTTGTTGAAATAAAAGATGCAACACTCTTTTCCATAATGAAGACTTACGTATAATTTGTATATGGCATTATATTTGTTTCGTATGCCGATTGTAATTTAAAATGATGTACTAAATCTGATGAACCTTCTTGTCGACTTATTTTTTGCAGACATGATTCATATTGTAATTCTTTAAAATCGGCATGTGATAATGGTATATGTCCATTACGCATTAATTCAATAACACCTAATTAAAAATAAAAAGAAATTATAAAAAAATAAAAGATTAAAATAATTGAGTAATATTTATTTTAAAAAAAAAATACCTGAATCGGGTAAAGAATTAAAATCTCCACATAATACTAAAGGAATTGAATTACAATCAATTGATGTATGATTTGTAATTGATGGACGATGTGTTTTTGTTGCATCTTCGATAATTGTCTTTAATTCACTTAATAACATTAATGTTTGAACTAATTTAACATCACAAAATTCGGGATCCCAATGTATATGAGCTGTACAAACAAATAATAATTGTTTATGATCGGCTGGTACAATACCTAGAAAATAAGATATATTTTAATAACAAAATTATAAAGAAAAATGAATTTATCTTTATTTATACCACTAGAAAATGTATGAGAATATATTTCTTCGTTCGTTTCTAATAATGCTACTAGACCAATATTATCTTTTGTCATAACACGATTAAGCATATCATGTGATGATAGACCATTTGCTGCTGACATTGCTAATTGATTAAATTCAACTAAATAATTTTCAACTAAACGAAATCTAAATATAAAAATATAATTAAAATATTAATTTAATTATAATAAGAAAATATTATACTTTGTTTTTCTATAGAATATTGCACAACCATCAACAAAACGTCGATCACTTTCACACATTGTACGTGCACGAGATTTTGGACTAAATACACCATCATAACCGAGACTTTTTAATTCTGGTAAAAAAAATGCATGATATTGATCCATTTCAATTTCCTATAAAAATAATTAAATATCGTTAAATTTGTCTGTTTATATATTTAGAATTATGTCTTTTATCTATTCTTTTTCAACATACCTGCAAGGCAATAATATCCGCTGCATAATTTTTTAATTCTTCCAAAATCTGTTTTCGACGATAATCCCATTTTAATGCCCAACTTGGACAGTAACCATAAGCATTTCTTGTAGCATATTTATCACATAATATGTTATAATTCATAACAGTAAATATGGCTGTTGGCTGAGTAACATTTGGCGATGATAGACGAAGCCAAGAACGAGTTGGTGGTGGTTGAAGGACTAAAATAGCAATAGTTAATAGTATAATATATCATATACTCAAAGGCTATAAACACACACGCATATATATATATACAGAGATAGATACACACACTTTTGTTCAAAAAGCACAAAGAACTATTCGTCATGAGTTTTTAAAGAAAAAGAAGAAGAGAGAAAAACGAGAAATAACAATCTAATGCTAAAATAAAAAATAAATTTTCTAAAATAAAATTGAATGCAATTAGAATTTTTTTAGAAATTTAGTCGATATAACGTAAAGAATATCAATATTGAATAATTTGTTTATCAAAATCAGAAAAAGGAGATTGATACCATTTTTAACTTACACTCTGTCTCAATAATGGGCGTAAACCATCTTAGACAATATTGTTGCTTTTGTCTATCGTGTGTAGTTTCAACATTCTCTAGAACTGATGTATTATCCATGCATATTGAAGGTGATGAAGTAGTTGTAAGATCATAATGAAATAAAGTTTGTGTAGGAGTATACAATTTTGCATTATTTTGATTTGTTGTATGATTTTGATATGTTGTATAATAATGCTTTGTATTATTATAATGATTATGCGATGTATTTCGAATTATATCATCGTTATTTAACATTATTATGGAATTTGTACAATCTGTACTATTCGAACATTTACAATGATTCGTAGATGGAATTAAAATATTTGAAGATGAAAATGGTAGATAACTAATTGTTGACATTGGAAATGAATAACACGGAACGAATGTTTTTGTTAATAATTGTTGTGTTTTATGTTGTAAACAATGACATGTAGACAAGGCGGATGATGTGAGAAAGATGGGAGTTGCTTGTGTTGCGGTGAAAAATGCCGATTGTATTGGCTGTGAATACTGTTGTGTCGATAGAGTACTCGGTAGATACGAAGACGAGATTGTTTCAGATAATTTAGTTGACAAACACAAACAATCGTGATAATCGATAGAGAGAAGAATATCCTGACCAGTTAAATCAGCGTAAAAATAATCGTTATTATTCACTGTACCATTGAATGGGTCATTGTTTATTACTATTTTTTTATTTGCATAGCACATGGAAGAGGATGAAGACGAAAAGGGAGAAGAGTTTTTCGACATTTTTTGATTAAAAATGGATGATGATATCGATTGATTTTGTTGATATTTTTCATTTTCTTCTTCAGATGGACTCTGATTAATACTATAATTCATATTTTTAATCGAAATCGAATCATCTTGTCGAATTCTTCGTCGTTGTTTTGTATGAAGATATTTTGATGGACGAGATGTCAATTTTCGTTTTAGCTCACATTTTTCACATGTAACTGAAGATATTGATCTTCGTTGTGTAGTACTTTTACGCTGTTGCAATTGTTGTTTCTTTTTTGAATAATTTTCTTTTTCGCATAAACATTGATTCTGATACGGTTGTTGTTGTTGTTGATTCTCATCCATGATAACGTCATCCGAATTTGATTCATCCATAGAACTACTTGTTAAAATAAGTTCGCTGTGTGTTCGTTGTTTTGTATTCGTTTTGTAAGATTTTGACGTTGAGTATTTTGAAGAATTACGATATGTTTCACTAGGTGATGAACTAGAACAACTCGAAGTTGAACTAGATGATGAAACACGACGACATGAAGTTGTGGAGCCAAGACCATGTTCCTCTTGATATCCGGACGAAGAAGACGACGAAAAACTAGTACAAGCCAATTTTTTGGCTTCTAAATCGTCAAATGTGAATGCAGTCGGTATTGAAGACTTTTTTATGGATCTTTGATTGGGATCAAATGATCTCAAAACAGGTGAAGGTGGTAATTCTGATTGACGATTGGATACGTGATGATGTTGCTGTTCTGGATCAGTGCAATAATCCGATGTTTCTGACTGATAATGAGGTTTTTGTTCACTAAAGAAAAAAAAAGATCTAAGTAGTTCAGTTACTAAGAGGGTCGAATAGTGTAACATTCAATAAGACTATGTGAAAAGAAAAATAATTTTTCATCTAGTCATCAGTATCTGGTTCATTCTAACATTCAGAACATTTTAAACTCACAAGAAATTTTTCTATTTTATACTGTCAGCTCACTCTCATGTACATGTTGGATAATACAAAACAAAATTTTCTACAGAGTAATTTAGACAATTTTCAAAAAAAAAACTAGTCTTATTTTAAGATTTTAAGTTCACATCACGTCTTCATTAATGTAACATACCTTGTTGAATTTTCTATTATTAACGGATGTTGTCTTTTACTGTGAAATGCTGGTGATAATGGATTGAGTGATGTTCCTAGCGTTTTTATTATTGTTTTATTTTGTTTTTTATTTTCAGAAATATCTGTTAAATTATTCGATAATATGTCTGAATTATGATATGATGTTGTATCATTCTGTAAATTTCTATTGGACGAATAGTGAACTGTTTGATTATTTGTAATATCGTATAAACGTGAATGTGATTGATGTTTTTGTACTGATTGATAACGAGTTTTATGATTTTGTGAAAAATTAAAATTATTATTTCGTCTCGAATAGTATGATGGATTATTATTATTATATGACGAATAATAGGATGTTGTACTATTATTACTGTTATAATTTTGATACGAGGAATATTGATGACGATTAGATGATTTCGTTGTGGATCTCTGTGGCAAAGAAGATACTTTAAAATATGTTTGAGATGTTGTTGCTATTTTTGAAGATAATAATTCATTATCATTAAAAAATTGTTTACATGAAACGATAACTCGTCTAGGTTTTACTTCTGTTATCGAACACATTAAAGTAAAATTAAATATCAATAATTAATGTAAATAACTAATGATGTAAGTGAGATTTATCAAAAGTTTGAATAAAATTTGTTTATATCGATTACATATAAAAAAAAAAGTATTTTTGTTTTAACTAATTAAATATAAAATAGAAGGTAAGAAATTGAATTTCATAAAGTGAAATGATAATAAGGGCTTTTTTTATGTTTTTTTGTCAATCGACGTTGTTAAACATTTCAACCTGAAACAAGATAGAAAAAACAGTTATATAACTAGAAAAATCTATTATACACGCCTGTATGTACACCTTAGGAGACTGACATTAATCATTGCTAGCGAAATAGAGATATGAGATGAGTAACGAGAACTAAAATGAAATGTGAACCAAAAAGTATTGAGGACTACATAAATTAAACAAAATTTTCTTAACAAAATACCGATTAGAATATACGCAATAAAAAAAACCCGTTATAGACTTTTGTAACGTCTTTAGTAAAATGACGAAGACACATCTGTTCGTTTTTATATTAAGAATATTTGAATGTTTTTTATGTTAAGAACAATCTGTTTATTATTATGTTAAGAATAGACATGTCTGTTACTAATGTACAATAATAAAATTGTGAACTTCTTAATACCAACATGAAAATATATACAGTTGATGCCAGTTTTCTGATACAGTGTCAGCTGTATATAATATATTTGACAAAAAATAAAAAAAATAAACTAAATAAAAAAATAATACGTCGTTTGAATGAATGGAGAAATAAAATTTGACGATATGTAACCTATTTTGGATACAATTATACAGTATTGACCATAAACATGCATACACTCTGTAGATAACACGTGTATTGATCCTCTCTTTCCTAAACTATCTAATCTTACAGGACAAGTGTAATAATATTTATGGTCAAAATTGTATGTATAATAATTGCACACTTTTTTTTTTCTTCAGTTTAGTATACGATATTTACTGATTCAATAATACGGTATCATTCTTTCTATTGCGTATATGCGTCAATGTTGAAAAACTGATTGTGCACTCATAAACACACAAGTATTATTAGAAGTCAACAGATACAAAAACAAAATGTTTGTTGTCTTCTTGAATAATACTCGAACAACTGATATTTTTTCAACATCTTGATAAATATTATAAATTACCCATTTTTGCGCTTTGAACATAACTGATTGAATTCAAAATTATATTGTATATAAAATATACAACAAGAACAAATTCATCTTTTTTAGATAGACTATCGATTATTATTATTGTTCATACATGTATGTATGTCATACAAACAAAGAATTTGAAAATTATCTTTTTTTTTTAAATTGTCTCCTTTTTATTAATTTAATATTTATACCTTTCGAGAAAAACAAACAATTTTTTTTTTATTTATTTTTTTTTTCATTTTTCTCTTTCTCAAGATGTTTTCATTTTTCGCCCTGGCAACATAGCAGGTTTTTATTCAAATACAAATAAAAAAAGTTCGATGTTCTATTTTTCTCTTGTTCTTTATGCGAATGTTTCGATGGGATTCTTTTCTTCATATATTTTTAATAACTAGCATAAAAGACAATCATAACAGGAAGCCCCTGGATCTTAAAACAATCGACTTCTCTTATTTTTTTCTCTTTTTTTTCAGATACAGAATATATATATAATCGTCCAAATAAAAGTCATTGTACCCTTAAGAACAAGAAAAAAATTTTTTATTTTGTTTTTTATGTTGCTGAACGTTTTATGCCACTTGAGCATAATTGTATCTAGTGACGACAAAAATGACGATTCATTTCAAAGAAACTTAACCTAGAAATGATCAACTTGTGGATTCCTATTCTCACCAAGAAATTTTGATATACATAAATAATGATTTTAATTTGTCTTAATCTGATACAATGATGAACACTATTTATATAAATGCATAAAAAAAATGTCTATGAAGTTTCATAAACACATCTCTCACGAGAAACAAATCTTTACCAAAAACACAAAAAGAATTATCGTGTATCTATTGAATATTCAAAAGGACGAGAAACCTAATGAGACTCCAGTCAAATAGTGTCATACTCTTCTGAATTATTGTGTGATATTCAGTTATATTTCCTTACAATCTTACGACACCAGCAGTCTTCATTATAATAGATGGTTCAGAATAAATCAATCACTTAGTATTTTGTTCATATCTCAGTTGA